AAATAATAATAATAATAATAATAATAGTTAATTTATTGTTTGATAATTATGAATACAAAGAATTGGAGAAATAATAAAGAAATTTATTTATTAATATTATAAACCTTTGGCATAGTACATCAAGCAAGGTTTGAATAAAGCTCTAAAGGGTTGTGTGGTAGTGATGGTAATTATGGTGGTAGTGGCAATAATCATAATGCTATGGATACAAGTTGGTTAATAAAAAAAATAAAATTATTATTATTATCATCATTATAACTTGCCCAATGTAAATATATTTTGTTAATATTTAACTTATTCCAAATGATTTGATAATTAAATTCATTAAATTGAATAATAATATGCCAAATAAAAATAATTTCTATTTTCTAAAAATAAATATAATAAAAAAAAGATGATTGCGTAACAGATTGTAGCTAACCTTTAAAAATATTAAAAAAACCAAATTAACTCCATTTTATTAATAGCCATTCTTGAAAAGAGTCTGTTACGCGAATTTGTTTTTTGTTTGAAAATATCAAATAAATATCAATAAATTTTGTTTGATATGATCTTCTCTTCTATTTCATCCAGCAATATATATTAATATATTAATATTATTAGGTAAAATGTTTATTATTATTATGAAAATAATCTTTAAAAAGCAAATTTGAAGTTAATACTTTTCTATAAACAAAATATGTAATAAACATTTAAAGGTTGGAAATTAGAACTTAACTATTGCATTTATTATTATTATGTAAAAAAAATTGTATTTGAGTTCCATATTGAAATAAACCAAGAATTACGTTTACAGTGTTCTTCTGCATCTTCATCAATAGTTATTTAAGTCATTTCCGTTGGCTTTCTCTTGAAGGATTGTCCTCTGCTTTTAATTTTTCAAGAAAATTAGAAGTAACAATTTGATAACACAGATTGAATAATTATCAAATATTTTTACATGCTCATTTGCTTGCTTTATTTCCTGATGCTCATCTATCATCACTATTAGTATCATCACATGGTTTCAATTTGATATTTTTGAACAAGTAAACAAGGTAAGTCACTAGCGAGCATTTTATTCACTAAAATTAAAAAATAAAATAAATAAGTTAGTAAATTGAGTAAAAAACCAAATCATTTGAACTTCTGTTACAGAATTTCTTGAATTTTAAACAAAGTATACTTTGAGGAAAACAATAGATTTTTATAGATTTTTAACAGATTATGGAAGAGAAAATATTGTAGTATTTATTTAAATAATTATAATAGTAATTTTTTTAAAAAAAATTTTTTTTCAACAAGCACAAAGTATCACGTTAACTCATTTGTAACATATGAAAAATATATGAATTGATCGACAAAGAGGCGCAAATTTCTATACCTAAATTTGGAAAGAACCCGGACTGTATTACATTAAAAGAAAATCATTACCAAATTTAGTCGTGAGATTCAAAATATGGTAACACGAAAATTATTGTTGCATAACTTTCAAATTTAAAAAACCTATTACTATGAAAAGAAAATTAGAGACAATTTTTTTTTTTAGATTAATAGACTCCCCTTTTAAAGCTGAATTGAATGGTAGTAAGTTTTTTTAAAATCCAATGTGTGGATCACATAATATTTCAAAAATTTTAACTTTTGAGTATAGATGATCCGCACTGTAGGCTCCTATTTTAATATAGTGCTATCATCTAAAGACACTTTACTAAATATGGGCTATTTTACCAAAGACTTTCTATTTTTACAATTCTCTAGACATGAAAAATAATGTAATAGAAAGTTTTTTTTTTTTGAGTTATTTAGTAAAAAAAAAAAGTTAAAATGGTTTAAAAGTTCAGTAACTTTACTATGTTATTTGAAATTTCAACAACTATATATTAATATGGTTGGCTTGGTCTAAAGACTCCTAATGCTGCACCATGTGGCAAATTTTTCAAAAATTATTTCTTACTGTACTTCCAAATTTAATTCGTGATTCTTTTAAAAATGAGTGAGCTGCATTGATTTTATCTCTCAATAATCTCCAACCAATTTTTAAAAAATTATACCAACCTTATTAATAGTAAAATGATTTTTTTTAGTCAAAATAATATGTTGAAATTACCAGAACCTTTCGAACGTGAACACAGAAGGATTAATGGTATGTGGGAAGCTAGCTTGAGTGAAAGAGGGATTAAAAAAAAATTGGACATAAAAAAACAACAATTCATGATACAAGAGCAAGATATAGAGATGGAGGTCAAATAAAATCAGCACCAAGACCAGGTAGACCAATAATAGCATAAGTTTGTGATAAAAGAGGTTTTATGAAAATCGTTAAAAAAGATAGAACACAAACTCTTTTTGATGCTATTAACCAGTTTAATGAAATAAATAATTTATCTGTGAGTTCTTTAACTTTACTTAGATATCTTCATGAATTAGGTTATTATGATTGTGCCAGATTGAGAAAACTCTTATAATTGAAAAAAAAAACAGAAAAGGTTGTTTAACATGGTATTGTTTAAGAAGAAAAATATGACATTAACTGTTTAATTCCAATGGTAAAACATGGCGGTAAGGCTCTTGGTAGATTGAAACACTTATAACCAAAAGGCACCAATCATTCTGGAAGAGTGAGAATTCTTTGGAGAGGTGGAATATTTTTTTCACACCAATATAATGACCACTGGTCCATGTTAGCACAGCCTTCCGGAGATGGTCCATTAAAGTTTAGGGATCTTGGTGCATTGAAATAATTAATGCTAGCACAATTTTAAAAGTGTTGGGATTTCTCAAGATACTAAACAATGAACTTTACAAATTAATTTTCTTATATAGTTTGGAGATTTGGCATTCTCAGATATCAATTTGCTCGCTTATCCAATCATATTTAATTCACATTCAATACTAACCAAAAATAGCTGTTGAGGGACATTCAATGGTTATTAGACCACCACTTGAAAATTTATTTTATTATCCAAATTCAATTATTCAGTTATTTTCCCGAACTTTATCCATTTTAATAATTAAATTTATTCAGTAAATGCTCAATCATTTATTTATCCACTTTATTAAATTTATTCAGTTAGTGCTCAATCATTTATCCGAACTTTATGCAGGGTGAATAAAATGAGTAAAACAATAATTCGAATAATTAAGAAATTGTATAAGAAACTATATTAATATTAATAACGACAACAGTTGCACAATTCATTGTTTTAAATTTAAATAATTATGAATGACGATAATTACATTATTAAGAATGACGTCTTTTCAATTGTCTCTATAACAGGCACAGTGGAATAGTGTATATTTGAATTAGATTTGAACCAAGTCATTTATAAGGTTCGAATCAGATTCGATTTGTATTCGATTCGAATGAAATGAATCAAAAAATTTGGTGATTCGAATTAGAATCGATTTGACTCGAATTTCGTTAATTCTTTCAGGGCCTTACCTGCATCAAGGCAACAATTCATATAGTGCACAAATCCAGGGATTGACATTACCCTATGCAGCTGTCAGCATCGATGGAAATATTTTTGTTTGCGCCTGGTCAAGTATATGTAGCCATGAGCAGAGTGTCTCATTGGGATTCACTTGAGATCTTGGATTTCGACTTTTCTTGTGTGATCATTCTGTGATTCAAGAGTACGCAAGATTGAAAAGCGTAACCTAAAGAGGTCAATTAATTAATATATATATATATGAGAATATCGGATTTAAATTTTTTTATATTACTACTAATAAAGTTTTACTTTGAGTTATTCCTGATTTTGTTTATTGCAAAAAAAATTACATGAAGCAATTCTAAATTTTTTTTTATAGTTCTAAAAATCTAATGCTAATAATAAAGAACGCAGAAGATTTAGGGGTGTGCTCAATTCATTTATATCCACGGAAAGAAATTTGAATGAAAAGAATAATTATCTAATATTAATACTAATATGAATTGACTTTTTACATTTATGACTACTAATTTAAAATGGTTCTTTAAGCTGATATGAATTGATTCGCACGAATTAGAATTGAATGAAAAATGATTATCGGATTATATTAAATGAAAAAAAAATATTATATGGAAAAAAAAGTTATTTTAAAAATAGTTTAGAGATATAAACAAATAGTAAAGGAGGTTTTACACTTTTGGCATTGTTAGCTTTGTTGGCTTTTTTGGAGAAAGAGATTTAACGGTAAAATTCATAGTTGTGCACCCTATTGGATCGTCATTAGGATCAGTAACTAATAATAATTGTTGATTATATTAGTAAATGAACAAACAAGTTAACTAATGAGCTAATATATAGATAAATGATAAAATGATAACATACCAAGAATAAGTTGTTGAAAATCAGTTTCATTTATACTAACAGTTTGGCGGGAAATGAAGGTAGTTTGTGTATAATTGAAATTGTAAGGGTAATGGAGATTATCAATGAAAGGTGAAGTTGAAGTTGCAGTTGTAACATTATAATCTTCATAATTGCCATTGTCAAGTAAACATATTACGGCGAACATTGAACAAAAATCTGAAATGCTATTATCAATATCAGCACCATTATAGTAAGTAATGATTCTAATTTTACTACCATCTTTTATGAAGGTGTTATTACTATTAAAGCCCTCGATGTTTAGGGTGGTATCTTTTCCTATAAAAACTTGGTTGGGAGTATTGTCTGAGGTAACTGTGTATGTGGTGAAGTTAACCGTCAAATTATAATTATTATTATATTCATCACATGATTGTGAGTAAATAACAATTGAAAAAACGAATAATAAAAAGAAAATGTTGAATAATTTGTTCATTTTTCAATTTTTTAATTTTTTTATTTTTATTTTTTTTTGAAAATTGTTTTTACCACTTTCAAAGAGTAGATGGGAATTGGCTCCTCTTTTATATACCCTTTATATAATAGAATGTGCACTGGCTATTATTAGGAATTACCAAAAATTACCACGTCCGTGTAACAACCTACTATTACTATCAATATTGTGTGTGGTGCTAAATCCCGGCACCTCTAATGAAATATTGTACATCAATCTCATTAGTTTGTAAAAACGAAAGTATAAAAAAAACCAAATAATGGAATTTAATGTATCATCTTTTTATCATGGAATTCAAGTGCAACAAGTTTTACCCAAAATTGACAATAATAACTATTTTTTTTATTATTATGGCGTAAATTTACATGCAGATTATCTTGTATTACCTTGGAAGAAATGTAGTTAAAAACATGTATTTTTTTTTCCCTTAACGTCAAATTTTAAAGGTCGAAATTATCCAAAAACACTGGACAATTACCTGAAAATAAATCGTATGATTATGCGAACTATTTCTACAATATAAAATATACGCTTGAATATTTGATGATTCCTATTGCAAATCAACCTTGTCAATCGATGAAGGGACTTTGGAGATATAGCATTTAAATTAACAAACGCTCATAAAAATCTTTTTAATTCCTATTTGCTAATCCTTTTAACTTGGTTTTCAAAATTCTCCACTTTGAAAGTCAAAAAAAGAATTAACATTTATTGGTTTATTCATTTTATTTTAGATTACTCGTTTGTTTTGAATTTCTTAATATTAATATTAATTTTCATTATAAAAAAATTATAAGCCGATAAGGAAAGACTGAACAGAAAAAAGAACTGGATAAAGTTTGGGCGTTTTTATTATAATTGAATTGATTCACAAAAAATTGCCAAATTTGATACAATAATCAGCGGAAAAAACAATCATTTAAGTGCGTTTTTTTTATGCTGCCCAACAAATCAAATTTTGTAGATCCATGAGATTTACCACAATTCATCTAAATGCTCTTTATGCTGCCATTAATGTATAGAACAAAATGAATATATATTTGGTATTATTAAAAGCAATTATTCATTCAGTATAACGTTGTTTGCATTGCTGTTTACAAAAGCGATTTTTGCAGATATTCTATATGCTGAATCTGTTTGTTACAATGAAAAAAAAAAATTTAAATTAAATTCTAGACAAAGCCAATTACTCTACGAATCCAATTTAGAGTTTATTGTAGAAGCAAATGATAATACTTAAAAATAGAAAGGTGCTTATTCCGGATTTTACTATCTTTATTTGTCAACCAACCAACCAACCAACGAATGTTTATCGTTGATTTTTTTATATAAATTAGGCGTAAATCCTCTTTTATTAAATTTTGAATTATCTATTCATAGATTATTCAAGGATGATTTTTGCAATGAACTTTAAAATTTTTCGGTTCAGGTTTTATCAAAAACTTTTTATTTTCCATTTATTTTGTCTTATGTTTGTTTGTCTTATTTCCACATCAAACGCACAAGATGCTGAACCAGCAAAAAATCCAAGTCCGGCTGAACAAAAACAAAGCAGTCTTGTTCCTAACAATATAATACAGTTTCCGATAAGCGATCCAACTCAATCAAAAAGTGGTTTTACGTGTCCTGTTGTTGGAAATTATAACGATCTTAAGATATACCCCAGCTTTTTCTCTCAACTAGGAACGTTCTTCCCTATTCTAGGTCTTCTTTTCACTGTGGCTGTTTATGGTACAACATCCGTGTTTGGATATATAACAACATGTCTACTTGATGATATTGTTATTTTGGGGACATCCTTAGTACTCATCATTTCGTGGTACAGCTTCACCAAACCATTTTGGTTGGTTTTATTAGCGAATTTATTGCAAGGTGCTGCGAGCAAGCGTGATGCTTTATCAACTTTTTTCATTGCAAAAAAAGCTGTTGTGATTGTTGGATCTGATTCTGGACCAGTTGGAATTAATTACACTGTTCCTATCATAGCACTTGGTTGTATTTTTGTTGTAACTGGTATAAGTTCTCTGGTTACACTGGGGATTCTCAGAATTGATTTTCACAAAAAACGGGAAATTCTTAGCAATCCAGATAATAAACACTACAGGCGTTTCTACAAGAGAATAAAAGGCATCATTATTTGGATTTACTTTATTCATTCACTTGAAGTCGTAATTTATACTGCTTTGCAATTCGCATATGTCTTTAAAGTGCTATTAACCATACAAGGAAGTGGGAGCATTGGTCTTGCTGCAGTTCTAAGAGCATTTAATTTGCTAACCATAAATTATCTCATGAAGTTTGCTTATTTCATCTCAACCACCACCTTAATTACCTCATATTACTTTCCTAATTTAGAAGTACGTTTCATAAAATTTGTGAAAGGGATTTTCACAAAAGAACCTGTTAAACTTTCCGAGAATGAAAAGAGGTTTTACCAAGGTTTTATTCGTAAAAAAACTTTCTTTCTTGCCACTACCCTTTCCTTGGGTCAAATATTTTTTGAATATTACTGGTTTTGTACTCCTCCAGTTATTAGTACAGTCTTCAACACTATTCTTACAACAGTTTTGACTCGTGCAGTCGCATCATTCTTTTCTAACCGGGGAATAGTTAAATATATTTATAAAAAAAAAAAATATATTAGTAAAGATGAAGCAAAAGAAGCTATCGATGGAGATATTCAAGATATCAATGAAGAAGATATCGAAGATAAAAAAAAGGTTTATGCACAAGTCAGCATTATGGATATTCATAATGTTAAAAGTTTTAATATAAATAAGGATAAGTATGATGGTAGCAGCATTATAAATCCCAAGAAATTGGAAAAATATTTAGTTGATTCTACGGGTAGTTATATTTATGTTTATAAAAAAGCCACAAAAGAAAAAAGTAATCCAGAAGAAAATACAAAAGAAAAAGGCAGTCCAGAAGAAAATACAGAAGAAGAAAATACTTCAACAAAAAATATTACAGAAAACGATGATGATGAGATTACTGTAGATAAAAGTGTATCTACAGGACCAAGTCCAATAGAAGAAAAAAAAAATAAAGATACAATTACTAAGAAGCCCAAGTCTAAGCAATATTACTACGTTATGCCTGTTCAGGATTCTATGTACTTTGTTGAACTTGAATTTGATAAAAATAAAATCGAGAAAAAAAAGCATGCGTACCAGAACGAAAAGAACAAATACATTGAGGCAAAGAAAAAATACAAGGATATATTAAAAAAAGAAAACGAGAAAGAAAATGAAGAAGAAATTAAAAAGCTCAAAGAAATAAAGGATAAATATGAAAAAATAAAGAGCAATTACAATCAAATTTTAGAGAAGGAAAAAAAGGAGAAAAACGTTAACAAATACGAAAAAATAGAGAATGAATACAAGAAAGTAGAGAATGAATACGAGAAATCAAATGATAGTGCAAAGGAGGGGATGAAGATTGAATACGAGTACAAAAAGAATGAATACGAGTACGAGAGGGAAAAAATAGCATACAAGAAAAAGTGGAAAGAATATGAGGAAAAAAAGAAAGAATATGAGGAAATAAATGATGAATGCGAGAAAATAGTAGGAGTCGAGAAAATAGGAGGAGGCGAAAAAATGAAAGAATACGAGAAAAAGTGGGAAGAATATCAGCAAAAAAAGAAAGAATACGTGGAAATAAAGGTTGAATATGAGAAATTAGAAGGAGATAACAAGGAGGCGAAAAGGACTGAGTACGAGGGAAAAATGAAAAAATACGAGGAAGAAATGGAGGAATACAAGAGGAAAAAAGAAGAATATGAAAGTAAAATGAAAGCATACAAGAAAATAAAGTATGAATACGAGAAATCAAAAGGAGGAGATAAAAATAAGACTGAACACGAGGAAAAAAAGAAAGAATATGAGAAAAAAAAGAAAGAATACGAGGAAGTAATAGAGGAATACAAGAAAATAAAGGAAGACGAAATGAAGAATGCAAATGATGAGTACGAGAATGCAAAGAAAAATTACGAGGAGGCAATGACAAATTACGAGAAGGCAATGACAAATTACGAGAAGCCAATGAAAGGTTATTTGAACAAAATTGAAAAGGATAAAGAAGTAGAGAAGAAGAAATTCTATGAAAAAAGGGATGAATACGAGTATAAAAAAACAAAGAAAGAATACAAGGAAAAGAAGAGAGAATATGAGGAGTCAAAGAGAGAAAAGGATAAAGCGCTTGCGAAGGCAATGAAAAAACCCGGGGATGGAAAGAAGAAAGGAGATGAAAAGGGGGAAAAACAGAGTGAAGCAAATAAGAACGAAACTGAACTTACTATACAGCAAACAATTCAGAAGGAAATGAAAGAATACGACGATAAAAATAAGAAAAAAAATGATAAAATAAAAAGTGAATACGCGAAAATATTGGAAAAATACATAAACGCAAAGGACAAAAGATATGAACAACGAAAGAAGAATATAATGACTGAGACAGAGGAAAAATACCAGAAAGCGAAGAAAAAATACATAAATGATAAGAAGAATGAAATAATAAAAAAATACAAAGATGATAAGCCGGTGAAAATAATGGATGAATTCGAGCAAGCAATTGTTGCAAAACACGCGATGGAAAAAATAGAATACGAGAATAAATTGACTGAATACGAGAAACAAATGGACGATTACGATTATTATTCTGCAGATCTTGATAATTTGTATGATGAGTACTATAAAATAAAGGGTGAACTCGAGGAAAAAATAGCTAAATTCGAATACGAGACAAAAAAGAAAGAATATGAGGAAATGGAGAAAGAGAACGTGGAAGACGAGGAAAGCTATAACGATGCAGAAACAAATAAAGAATATGAGAATGCAAAGAAAAATTACGATAAAATATACGAAATAAAAAAGGGAGAATATGAGAAAGCAAAGAAAAAATACGAGCAGGTAATGTTGAAAATAATTAATAAATACAAAGAAGCAAAGAAAGAATATGAGAAAGCAAAGGGGATGGAAATGAAGAATATAATAGAAGAAAAGAATGAAAGAACCAGGAAAATCAAGGAAGAAATCAAGAAAGAAATTGAGAAAATCAGGAATGATATAGGTTGTGATGGAATTGCATTTCACGACTATACTGGTGGAAGTTTCGAAAAACAAAATGAAATCTCCAGATTCAGACCAAATGACCTTGAAAAAGGACTTCCTTCTCCTTCTATTAAACTTATTAGAAATTGTGAGAAAATCGAAGGCCACGTCTTGATTAACATACTTGAAACAGGATTCCTAAATTATATTGTTTATTCTCATCGTTCTTCTAAACAGCCCGGATTACTAAAATGGATAAAATGGAAATACCATCTGTATATTAACCAGTCTGGTTGCAAACAATCCTGGAGAGAAGAGAAAATGAAATTGAGGGAAGAGGACCTTAAAGCGGAACTGGAAAAACTAGATCCCGCACGGAAGAAACAAGAATTAGAGGAGCTGATAAATCAGGAATTAGAGAAACTGGAGGAGCAGAAACAACGACTGGAGGAGCTGAAAGAGGAACAGAAACAAATAGGCCCATTACCTTATTATTTAATTTAAATTAAAGGGTTGGTTTTGACAAAAAACTCCATATCACACAATTTCTAATTAACATTAATATAATTTTATTTTATTTTAATATAATAAATAATAGTAACTTTTTCATTGTCTTTTGTTTTTTATTTTTTAAAAGAATTCATATATATATTATTCTATATTATTAGCATAATTAAATCTTGATGGTTTGTCACGGTTATTAATCGAAGATTCTTAATTGAATTTAGAAAAAACCACCTAATAAACGTAATCAATGATTTAACTTTTTTCTTCTTAATTTACATTCCTTAATTTCATGGTGATGAATATAAACATGCAGATTTGATAAAATTATATTTCATTTATGACATTATCTCTTCGATCATGGAATATTTAAAATAGAATTTGCACCGCTGCTATATGTTTTGACATTTGATCTTACCTCCTATGCATTTTATATTTTATTATATACTCGTTTTCTTGCTATATATGATAAGTAACTGTGCTGTTGTTAATTTTAATCTTTCTTATTCTATTTCATATTCTTAAGGGATCAATCATCTAAAGAAAGTTTTATTAGTAATGAGCGGGTTTGTTTCATTAAACATGCCTTACTATTTACAATAATAAATTTAGACGGATGTTTCTCTGTATCATAACCATTAACTAATCCTTCTTTCCAAACATCACTGCATAAACACCAATTTTGCCCAATTGATATCATCAAATCTTGGCCACTATTAATTATAGACTTATATTATTGCTTTATCACCAGGAAGAAGCAACGTGCTAAGTTCTACTTTACTGTGACAAGAATATCTTTGGGCTATATGAATATCTGTTCTGGTAAGAGGCTCCAGATTTTGGCTATTAAATAATGCTTCTTTCAGAGGTTCCGCATAAGTGAGATGGTGACTACAAAAATTAATGATCAATTTTCATGATTTTTGCAAACTTCTGTAAAAATCTCCCAACTCAGAGCGTAAAGAATCAGACATGGGTTTTAGATTTTTATTAAATGCTTCAACAAACTTGACTTTTGTCCTACAAAAAGTTTGGATATTTGTTTTTTTTAAGTAATACTAGCGATGTTAGTCTGTGGAAAAACTTTGTCGACTAAATCAAACAACTCTAAACTAAAGTTGGTGTCTGTAGATGTTTTCAACTGCAGATTTTAAAGCTCGAGTTGCAATCTTTTCTGAACCTCTACAACCCCTGCAACTGCCTGCAACTATAATTATGATGACTTAGGATCAAAAATGGAATCACATAACTTCAAAATGGGATTTATTGTTTTAAATAAAATCATATTAAAAAATTTTTTTTTGATAAAAATAAATTTAGTTTTATAGTGATTGAAGTAGCTGACCAACCAGAGGTTGCAGACAATTACAAACAGTTGCAGACAGTTGCATACAATTGCAGCAGTTGCAGCAGTTGCAGCATTAGATTCAATATTTTTTTGGGTCGCAACCTCCTGAGTTGCAACTTCCTAGTTGCAGAGCCATCTTTACTCTAAATCTACTAAGAAAGAACTTTGATAAAATAATTTAAAAACTTCTTAGATGGTATTATCATTACTACTATTTATTATTGTTATTATTTAATCTCCTAATTCACCGCCATCATTGTTATTTAATGGTTCACTAACTGTTAATAGAGTTACTATTCGAATAAGGTTATTTGATTTATTCGTTATGAATTTGAATATTCATTGAAAATTTGTTCGAATAAAACGAATAATAATAAAAATTTTTATCACCAATAGAAAACTTTTATTATCTTTTATTTTTTTTAGAGCAAATGCATGTTTTTTCTAAGTAATGCATATCAACCAAGTGCCTATGCCACTGAGTTCTGGATTAAAATTCCAGACGTAAAAATGAATGTTAAAAGAAATTTTTTTTTTTAGTCACATCACTACTTAATTTGCACTTTAAAAAATTTTAATTCGTTAGATTCTTAAAACACACACATTTCATAGCATACATATTAAAATACGGCTTTCAATAACAAAATAAATGATCATAATGGGAATAAGGAATATACAAAAATAATTATAGAAAAATGCAAACTCGATTCTATTTTTCTTTTATAAATCAAAAAAGATTCGGCTGAAATTCCATCAATTTCCTCACTTTCTACCAGAAGATCTCAAAAAACCAGAATGCATTGGCAATTTTATTTTCCTGCGGATATTCCAAATACAATAAATATGTCATTCACACCATTTAATTCCATTACAAAATGATCAATTGTTCACTATTTCATAACGGATGGCCGAATCCTGCAGTTTTACCCGTCACATACCCAGAGTACGATAGGGTTTGAATAAAATATGTTGTGACCATGTAAATGTGGTGGTAATCGTATCTGATAATATTTGGTTAAACAGTCAAATTAACGACACTTTATGTTTGAATGAAATCTATATTTTTAGCATTTCTAATTATTTTTTATAAGCATTCCTAATTTTTTTTTTTAATAAATTGTATATTATATGTTATATTCCTTTCTTTTTTTTTTTTTTAATTATTCACACTGTAAATTCCTTAAAAAAAATGCATCACGCACGAACTTCATTACCTGCATCTTCAAATCCACTTTTTTATTTGGAACACAAAAAGAATGCACTTTTTCATTTAACAATACAATTTTGGATAAATAAAATTTTTTTTTTTGGAATTATTGCACACAAACATTTGTGGGAAAAGTAAAATTATTCTTTGCAAACACTTCTTGTTATCGATGTTCTTTATCTTTTTGCATTGTTATACAAAGATAATCTTTGCGAATAAATGCCAAATTTGTTTGATACAAATTCCGTGGAAAAAAGTAAAAATCAACTTTATCTCTTGTTCTACATAATCGATTTAGTGGTCTACGATGCTCTTTATACTGATATTCATGGAACAGAATGACAACGTTAGTATTGGAATATTATTGAAATGTTTTCTCCATTTAGCATAACTTTGCGCAGTTTTACAACGACAAGATATTCTATATTTAAGTTCTTTACAAACATCTGTTGTCCTACGCACCTAAAATGATAACGCTAATAATTAAGCATAAAAAGATTGCATTGGATATTATTAAAAATACTTCTTCATTTAGCAACCAATGAATGTTTACCGTTTATTTGTTTATAAAATAAGTCTAAACCATTTTTTATGAATCCTTCTCAATAGATTGCTCCAAATATATCTTATCCACAACAAATCACAAGATCAAATCCAGATGATCAAAGTCCAGCTCAAGAACAAAAAAATAGTCATATTCTTAATAAGATAATCCAGTTCTAATAGTCAATCATCAGTTACCTTTTTACGCCTTTTTTTTAACGTAGCTGTTTATGATATAACAACATCTATATGTGTTTGGATACATTACCGCATGTTTATTTTATGATATTGTTATCTTTCGTATTCGTCATTTTGTGGTATAATTTCATCAAATAAATTTGGATTTGCGTTAGTGTTAGAGTGAATGAGTGTATTTTCGCAAGAGACATCCCAAGATTTCAAGATTTCGTTGATTTTGTTTGTTTCCTTACATTCTGAATAGATATTGGTGACTTCATTGCAGACAGCTTTGTATAAAATTAAATCTGTAACAACTTTTCTCACACTCTTGTCATTAGGTCCTGTGTTACCGATGATGATTACACCAAGGCTATTTAAGCACTTATGTCAATTTTTGGTTGTATCTGTTGTAATTGTTCTGGTTATCAGATATTAGTATTTGTTTACAAAAATGGGAATTAGAAAAAACCACAAAAATTACTTCAAGGAATTAAAAAACATTATTATTTGAGTTTACAACACTTGCAAAAAACAAACCATCTCTTGGATTTCAATTGTAATCTATAATTTAACCTTTTCTCTTGTGGATAACATCAATAAAATTTCCGAAAAGATTATGCTTCATTTATGATATTATCGATTTAATCGTATACTTGTTTTCTTACTATATGATATGTAGGTTACTTACTTGTCTATTAAAATTAGAAATGATATAAATCAGTTAGGTTAGTGGAGAGACAATGAATTGGATTTTGAATATGAAAATTATATCATCTTTTTACATTGCATTTTTAAAAACATTTATAAAAAATATTTACATCAGAGTCAGAATCCAATTCTTTATTTAATTCTGGTTGTGAATTTAAAGCCAATCTCGATAAAAAGATCTAATGATTCTAACTTACTGCAATATCATCAGTTTTTGACCAAATAATCATTATTTTTGTAATTTTATTTTTTTAGATCAGATGCGCGCCTCCAAGCTCTGATATTTCTTGTAACTGTCCTATGATTCTTTGAATAGTTTTTTGTTAATTGTAAACCTGTATAACAAATCACAAACTCAAAAAGAGTTTACATTTTATTTTAAAACTATTCAAATGATACCGCAATAATACCGCACTTAGACCACACATTATTTCAAGAAATATATATATATATATGTGAGATGTGGACAACAAAAAAAAAAAGATTTATGGTCATTTTGAGATAATGACATAATTACATGACTAGAAATCATTCGAGCTTAAGAACATACCTATATACTTGCATGTAGAAAGATCTTGGATTTAAAAAAACGTTTTATGAAAATTCAGCCTTTTTTGCTGCCCAGATACTTTTATTGTTTGTTACATGCAATAAAATTAATATCGTTTTTAAACAAAATGAATTATTTACCTCTGGGGTTGCTTTTACTGGAGACATCTCATATGTTAAAAATAAAAATAATAATAAACATAATAAATCAAATAAAATAAATAAATAATAATAACGAAAACAATAATTAACATTTACTATAACGAATAAAGCACCATTGAACTCAAGCACAACGTCAAAAGCATATCTATTTATATACAAGGAGAGCAGTAAACCATGGATCAGTGTCGCGGTTGGCCTTTTTTTTTTTTGAAAAGCTTTGAAGTCTGGGACAGCAAAAGTTGCACTATACATGGGTATGCATGCGTTATAATTTTTACAACCAAGATTTTTAAATATGAGACGCATTTTTCACTTTTACAATAAAGAAAGGATGTTAGAACTTGCTATTACTATTGTCGAGTGAGGTAAATATTTTCAAAGAATTATTTCAATCTTATTATTATATATTATAATGTTATTTTTTTATTTTAAAAACTAAAAAGATAATAAAAAATTACAAATATTACAAAATTATTTATTATTATTAGAAAATTAAAACATTTTTTTGCTAATTATGTGCAGTCGACACTCAATACAGTGAGCGCGACCAACTTTATTTTTCGCAAATATATTATTTAAATTAATTGTAGTTTGAATAAAAGCAAAAATTTAACGTGATTAACTCTTATCTGAACTTGTTTTTTTCATGAACTAGTAGAACGATGAGAATAAATAATATAATTAAGAAATCCTGTTTCAAGTATGTTTATCAATACATAACCATCAATTTTCATATATTTTCTACCAGTGACCTTCTTCGCATGATTGGTGTCGGTGGTAATTCTTTCGTCGTCATTTGCAATTGTTGGAGGTTCTGTGGTGTCTTCTGTTGGAACGAAATTGGGGACGCCGCGACCATCTTGTTGTCCAATTTTTCCATTTTCAAGTTCGTAAAATACGATTTTATCAGTATTTAAATCTTTGGTGACATTTTCGATTCCATCACAGATTTGATCATCTTTTGATTTCTTCGTTTCTTTCTTTTTATCAACATCGATTATGATATCACCATCGGTATTTTTCTTCTCATCCAATTCAAATTCAATAAAATACATAGAATCATCAACAGGCAGAGGGTAGTAATATTGCTTTGTTTTTGTTTTTTCAGATTGGGTGACTTTTTCTGCATTATTGTTTGTATCATTTATTTTTTTAGTAACATAATAATTGCCACGCACTTTAGAAATTTTATATCTTTCCAAGCTATCAGGATTAGGATCTAAAACATTTCTACCACTACCACTCTTATTTATACTAAAACGTCTGATATTAAAAATATCTGAAATTTGAATTTGTGCGTAAACATTAGATTTCTTGACTTCTTGATTTTCTTTAGTGTCTTCACCAGATGATTTTTTATAAATGTATTTAACTATTCCCTGACTAGAAAAGAACGATGCGATTGCACGAGTCAAAACCGTGGTAAGAATGGTGTTGAAAACTGTGCTAATGATAGAAGGGGTACAAAACCAATAATATTCAAAGAATATTTGAAGTAAGGAAAGGATAACGGTAAGGAAAAAAGTTCTTTTACGAATAAAACTTCGGTAACTCCTAGTCTCAATATCCCTCCAAAACATTACATATTTTTCTAAATTAGGAAAATGATATGTCGAAACTAAAACAGTGGACGAGATGAAATAAAGTAATTTCAAAAAATAGTTTAAGGTAAGCAAATTAGCCGAGCTACTCTTTTCAGTAGCATCTACACCATTATGTGTCTGCTGATCTAAATGTATATTTAAGAGTACTGAAAAGACGTATTTGTATTGAAGAGCGCTATAAACTATAACTTCAGCCGAATGAACAAAGTAAATCCAAATAATAGCAGTTTTTACATGACTAAAGTAACGTTTGTATTTTTCGTAATCTCTGTTGTTATGCTTGCTATTTTTTTTTTCACTAAAATATGCCCGATATTGGTGAAACTTATATCTAATAACCCCAAATACAATCAGAGTAGTTGCAGCAGATACAATAAAAATACAACCAATTGCTACAATATATTGATAGTAATCACCGTAAGGCCTAACAATACCAGCTTCAAAATCACTCAACATAGTCGCTAATATCCAAATCCACATTGGTTTGGAGAAAGTGTACCACGAAAAGATGAGCAAGAAAGATGTCCCCAAAATAACAATATCATCGAGTAAACAAGTTGTCATGTAACCAAATATGGATGTTGTACCATAAATAGCTACAGTGAAAAGAAGACCGACAATAGGGAAGAATGTTCCCACTTGACTAAAAAAGCTGGGGTATATGTTAACTTCGCTATAAGTTCCAACAGCAGGACAGCTAAAGGCAACTGATGATCCACTTGGATCGATTAATGGGAACTGTATTATAGTGTTAGGAACATCTTGAGGTTGAAGTTGAGTTTTATTTTGATTTTGATCTTGTGCATTTGATGTGTAGATAAAATTAAATAAAATACAAAACAAAATAAAAAGTTTTGGATGAAAATTTAGCTGAATTATTTTAAAGTTCATTGCGAAAAACATCTATGAAACAATTTATTTGAGAAATATTTCATAAAAGAAAAAAAGAGGAGTTCATTCAGACTTAGTTTATATACGCTGGTTGCGAAATCAAGAAACTTTTTTTTAAATGATATATCCGAAATAGGCGCCACTAATACTAATAACTAATTACCATTCGTAGATTTTTGATTGTATCTTACAAATTTGGAAATATTTAGTGTAACAATAAATAAATAAAGCGCCAAAAAAATCGCTTTTTCTTTGTAACCGACAATCTTCTAAATTTATATCATCAATGGAGGGAAGGGACAATATGTTGCGCAGTTAAAAATTAATATTAAATAAGTAATAATATATATATTTTTTTTTTTTAGTAGGAAATTCTTTAAGTCTTTACTTATATGACTGAAGATTTCATTTTCATTTTTAAATTAATTTGTTAATGCCTATTCTAAGCGCGTAATGATATTTCAAGTATTAAAAACACCCCTATTCATTGCATGCATGTGTGATGAAGATCTCGTTGAAAATTTATGCACCAAATGAAGATTCACATAATTTTTTTCATTTAAAAAAAAAACTCGTACGAAAATTCTTTCATTTCATTAAAATATTTTATAAAAATATATTATTCAATCAAAGTCTAGAATTAAAAGAACTTGAACAATACCAATATCAACAACATTATTGAAATATACAACTCTATTTTTATATCATGAATGTAAGAGAAAGCAAGATGCAAGCAGACAACCTAAGAATTCTTATTGTATGTAATTTTTTATTAATTCAAGTGCTACGAATGTTCCAGACAAATAATATTTTACCATATCTGGATAATAATTACAGGGTCATAAAACTTTTCCCATTTCATTATTGTTATTATTATTATCTATTACTATTAATATATAGATAGAATATCACCCTCAACATTCAAAAGATCAAAAAAAACCCCCTATTTACTATTAATGCTATATATTCTAAATGCCATAAATTAAAGAATTATACAGAAATCTTTGCTTTTAATCTGCAGCACAAGATAACTTTAGTTCTAAAGATAATTGATTTTTATTAAAGGTTCGAATCACATAACAAAAGAACTCCGCCTAGCTTTTACTGATAACTTTAATTAAACTCGAGATTGATTACTACTATGAATCAATGATGAAATTTGTATACAAAATTGTTTGTTACTAGTGGAAATAAAAACCTTAACCAGCCAGCTATTTGGTTAATTATGCCTCATGGATATTTATTATTGAATTTTTTTAAAATAATATTACATCACTTAAAAACCTCATGTTACCTTTAAATATAACAATAATACACATCTAAACTCGATAAGCCGGACGCAGCAATCAATTGTTTAAAGTACTTTATAATATAAATAAATGTCCGACTTGTCGAGTTTAGATGTGTAATACTAAAACAAATATGTGATGATTACAATGATAATAAATTATGTAATTTAATGCTTCAAAGACTCCAATAGGTAGTAAATCAATTTAGTTGTATCTCACTTACTCTCCATTCTCTTTACATTTAGCACCTAATACAAATATGGCTTCATTTCACGTTTTCTATTTATCACAAATTGTCGAGTTACCTTTTAACCTATTTCAACCATTAATAACGATTGACCGGTTCCAATCTCTAAATTGCAAAGTTCAATTCAAAATCTGTGTTCCGCGTGAAATTCAAATTAGAATTAGCCAACTAGAATTTTGTATCCCAACACCCCACCTCAAAATTTTACACGATTTGACCTTTCACGCACATTTGCAGATTGAATGGATTATTTACATAATTTATTATTGTTATTGTTAACTATGTATGTCGTGTGAAATTAAAATCTATAATTAAAGTTTTGGGGTGGGGTGTTTGGATATGAATTTTGAATCGCAATTCACATAAATTTCTTTTTGATTGCCAAAGATAAACTTTATCTGTATAGAAGAAAAAAATATATTTGTCTAAATTAAAAAAATAACAATTATTCCTATTTTAGGTTGCTCAATTGATTTTTTTTTTTTTTGTATCCATCTCCGAATGCAGTGCAACGTACAATAAAGTTTTTTAATAATTGACAAAAAAATTCCTATAAGATTACCAAATGAACTATTGCAAATTTGGATTTGAAAAAAATTTTTATTGATGAACATACCACAAAAGTGATGCAAGTTATATGATAGAGGAATCTATTGTCTCGTAGATAGGTTGCTATCATAGCTGGATCAAAATTCATATAATATTCGTTAATAGAGCCAATTAATTTAGTGGTCAAATTATTATATCAAAGGGTTGTTTGGTTGGTTAGGTTTAATAGGGCCAAGTCAATAAACCTTTTTTTTTTATATTAAAAAAAAAATCATAATTTATAAAAATCAATTATTATTATAACCAGCTGATGTTAATATAGGGTCAAGTTTATATATTAAACTTAATTTTCGTCTGGTCAAATCATACAAAATGACCTATTTATAAAGTTTACGGGGCACTGCCTCACTAGGAATGATTAAATTACTTTCACCAAATGGAAAATATGAGATAGATCCTATACAATTCTCATTTGGAAACAAAAATAATTGTCATGTCATAGAAAATATAGATCAAATATTAAAGAAAAATTCAAAGATTCACTTTTGTTCTTTGGTTTTATAAAAATAATATAGAATATTAAAATCGGCCGAAGGTTAAAAATTTTCTAATAAAATTTCTATTTGTTTGTCAATTATTTGTTATTCAAACAACCAGCCATAGGAAATTTACAAATTGAATAGAAACTTTAAAACAATATATAAATAACAAGTAACATCAGTGGCCAGGTTTGGATCGGTCATAGAAAGGCCTGTTTAAGGACTGGTCCTAAAAAGGAAAGTGTAAATACATAAATATTCATTTATTTTTCCTTGAATTAAATTCAGAAATTAATATAAAGTTTTGTGACAAATCTATTTTTTATCATATGGGCTGAAATTTGGACATTTACATAAGCAACATTCACTATATGTTTTTCCAATCTTATGTGAGGATTTAATACGAATAAAAAAAGTGCTAAAAAGTTTTTTTTTTTTTTTTACAAACCAAAATTTGTTTCCATTTACTATTTTATAAATGAAATCGTTAACAATTGTAGAAGTTTTTATTATTATTATATAGTTTTTTAATATTAATTATGTAAATTGTAAAGGTAAATTAATAATTTATTTTATATTTACTAACGTGAAATGAGTATTTCTCTATTATTCAATGATATAGCTATTTAATTATAAGCAACACAAACAAAATAGGATGAACAGACAAATAATTGGATCATTTGGGATTTTATATATAACTTTAATATTTGCATTTTAATTAGCATAAAAATTGATTTCTTCAAACATGATAAATTCCAAAACTGCGGAATGATACATACACACACGGCTTTGCCTACACGGAAAAAAGGACAGAAAATTTAATCTCATTTAACGTGATATATGTAGACCCCGTCATGGAAAAAACAATTGGATGGGCCTTTTATTATTATTAAAGACAAATAATAATGCTGAAATTTGTTATATTGCTATATTAATTATGAGAACACAAACAGAATGAATAAATATATTATTCTGCTGCATATAATTAGATATTTAGAAGTAATATTTTAACATTTTAAAAAAACAGTATGGATTTTATAACTTTGATGTTGCACCTTTAAAATTGATTCTTGTTTCAAATTCATTAAAGGATTTGGATTTTAAATTAATATCAAGTGACTTGAAATTCTTTTTTACGATTACTATATGTTGCAGATCGCCCTATTATAATCACAAATTTATATCACTAAAAATGAAAATTAATTTCCGCCGCCCACATGTTTCGTATTTACTACACAAATTTCACCACATGTCAATTTCGAATTTTGTTTATTTGAATTAAATCTATTCGGAGATATTAATATAAATAAAAAAAATCTCCTAAAATACTGGTTCTGGACCGGTATTTTGAAGTGGTTCAAGGACCACATCAAAGACTGGTCCCACAGTCCCCAAAAAAGACCGGTCTTTTGGGACCCGAGACCGGACCAGCCTGGACCGACTCAACTCTGGTCATAAATCATATTCTAGTTTAAATTTATAAATACATACAATCATAAATGCAAACTGTCAAACCAAAATAAAGGTTTTGGATTTATTTCTAATTTTCTGTTACAATTTATTTACTACGCATGTTTATTGTAATTTCTATATATTTAAAAATCAAATGTCTCTTTTAATTTCTTCAGGCATTAAAATGGCCCAGGTTAGCTATAATCGTCATAATATAAAAATGACAGCGACGACAATAATAATAATTTAGGGACTCTTGACCAATGGTAGAAATAAAGAATCTGTCCACTAACAGAAGAAAATTCACTGAACGTTTACAGTTATCTTTCTTCAACTAATTGTAAACAATATTAATATACTGTACATATTGCTCTCGGAAACGTGTCCTTCCATCAATTATTATTATGTTCAGCTTCAAACTATAGAAAATGATTTTCTCAATACTCATCATAATGTACTCGGTAACATTGTCAACGATTTAGACAGAAGTTCGTCTGATTGTGAAATATAAAGCCACTTTACATAACGATCACTTTAATAATTTCGTTGTATAAACAAAAAAATTTTCAATTTTTACTTTCATCAAATCGTCAAAATGGCCTTTGGTAAGAAACTATATACCTTTAGCCAGTACTTACATCACGTCAAATTACTAAAGTCAAAGGTTTCGTCATACATCATTATACCAACCACAGATGTGAATTGGTTGACTGAATATCAATGAACTGTGTTCCAAAGTATATACCATCAGTTGTTAATGCATTGTAAATTAAGTTCAACAGCAAAACTAAACAGTCTTTTCGGAAAAGCAACCAATTGTTGTAGAAAGGATTATCTCAAAAGACATGAACCTAGTAAATTTAGATAAGGCCAGGAGAAATTTCTGACGTGATAAAAACTACAACATTATCAAACTTCAAGAAAATAAAAATAATATTAGTAACCAAAATCAATGTTCAAACATCAAGATCAAGAGCACCATGACTACAATAATAACAATGATAAAATAGGATTTCCAAATTATAAGGAACGATGAAAAAATCACTGTAAAAATGTGTGTTCCGGGCATTAATAAAAATTTATTATCGTTGTACGTAATTATCAGGGAAATTTTTACTTGATTAATTAAATTGTGTAGAAACTAATCGTGAATGTTAGTTCACTCAAGTAGCAACAAACGGATGGTGTAGCCGGCAAATGTAAGGTAAATGCAACGGGAGACAAGGTATTTTGAAAATTTGATAAGGGAAAAACTATCAAGGATAAGTTGCGCTCCTATTCAAAAAGCTTTACAATCTATGAAGCAGTTTTAATTATTCCCATCTCACCCTGAAATAGGAGAATTGGTTTGATAAATTAGCATATTACAACTTTGGACTTGCTTGTTACCTTCAAATATACAGAGGGTGATCACGGGTTTCCGAACGATAAGTATTTTTTATTTTTTTTTGCTTTGTTTACATCATTTACGCGTATATTTCTAATTTAAGCATTTATTTAGCATGTAGATCATAACAATAACAATAATTCACAAATACAAATGGGTAA